TAATGTGCGAGAAATTGCCAATTTAGCACTGATTAATTAATATTGTATTTCAAAATAAATATTGGCGCCATTACGATTTTGTATTCGATTACTTATACTTTCGATAAGGCAAAAATATTTCTGTTTTTGTTTTGTTCTCAATATTCGCCACCTTTTCCGACTGACTTCTGCGAATTTGTGTGAAATTTTTAAAATCTATAGAAAATTCAGTCTTAGAAATTTATGTTTGTGAACTATTTTTATATTTTGTCACTTTTTTCCATGTTGATTATGGTGTTATTAAGACACAGCATTCGCACTAATTGTGTTTTCTAAAAATTGTAGAATGTCCTGTGAAGTGATATATCCTTAATGTGAAAACACCTTCGTCCACTTACAGAAGAAGGGATATTTGTTTCAGTCAAAATGTCTGTGGCTAGGGGAAAGTTACTTGTGGAGTGGCGTAGTAAAGCTGACACCCCTGACACTGTGGATAACTATATATGTATATGCCAATAATATTCATAGATTCAAACATGACAAGAGTCAATACCTTGAAATGTCAAAATGAACTCGAAATTTCAACTTAAAATTTGGTAAGAAGTGGAGAGAAAACCATTATGATAGAAGAAAATTTGAAAAAGTAACAACGTATGGTTGGAAAGCGAACTTTTTTTAATTAACTGTACTTCAAATATTGGTTAGCCTCATATGATGAGGTCATGTCTGCGGCTAGCACTATCTTATACATTTAGACCATATATTTTCCGGAAATTGTCATTTAAACTGCCCGCGCAGAATATTTTTTTTTTTTTGTTAAGTTGGTAGCACTGTCCTTACTTACTATGGCCAAAATGAGTGCGATCTGTCAACCAGTTTGTTTGCAGCAGCTGTAAAAATCAGTTGACCTCAGTTCCTTTTGCTAATTTTCTTTTACGGACTCAATCGAGTCGAAACGGGTTCCACGAAGTGGTAATTTGAGTTTCGAAAACAAAAAAAAAATTGCATGGGGCCGAATTCGGTGAATACGGTAGTTGATCTATGGTATTGAACGAGTTTTTGATCTTAATGTCGTTCACACCTTAATGTCGTTCAAAGCTTTAGCTTTCTTTATGTATTGATGGTAGTGACACCAAAATGCTTTTTATGAACTTGGTGAGTGGTACTTAACCGAGAAGCACAAACCAATTTCCCACTTGCGATATTCTTCGGCTTTATAAAAAACTGTGCTACGCTAATGAGCTACAAGTTACCGATCATTCGTTTGAGGCATCTTTGCAAACCTTGGTTGATATGTTCAGAATTCTTAGAGCCCATAGGTAAGAGCTTAAAATTTCGGAAAATAAAAATACTGGAGAGATAACTGGCAAAAAAAATGGTGGCACTACTTCCAGCCCACGCAACTTATCGGCAAAATTGACGCTTACATGATAAGCCAGGGATGATGTGAATAATGCCAAAAATCAAACACAGCCAGTTTATATGCCCATGATCGATGGGAAGATATTTAGTGTTGTCACAGAATCATCATAATCCAAATTTAGAAAGGATAAAAAATTCACCCTGCAAAGAGAATTTATTTGAATGTGGGCTATCAACTCTGCACGCTTGGACTCGATTCTTTGATTGTATTCAGCGTAATAAGCCCAACGACTACCGTCCACCCGCTCAACCGACACGAGAGGCGACATCCGCATAACGTACGGAATATGCCGATGCTAAAGAGTGAATCTCTCACTACGAAGCTTTAACCGGTTGGTATAGGGAGGAAGATTTATCGTAGAGGTTAATCGGAAATGTCTTAAAAGAAATTGTTATCGAACCGACTCTAATTTACCGGAATGAACCTGATAATTGGGGTTCCTCATCAGTGAACCATAATCTAATATTGGCCTCAACAAAGTCATATAAAGTCTTTTGGTGACAAAAGGGTCTTTGAATTCTTTTAAGGAAGGAAATGTCTTTATTAGTCTATATCTTTATGCCCGGACTAGCTACAACAAATTTTGGGAACACAGCTAGAAAAATTTTCCAACAACCTGAATTATCTGCTCAAGTAACTGGGATTAACTATTCACCAATTCATCGCTTTGGTGTTATTTTACGCACAATTGGTTCTGGTCATGAAATAAATATATATGCATTTAGCCTGCATCTGTGAATATGCATTTTGATATATGGTACAAATAAAATCAAACATGTTTCTCTGCCTATGGCACATTCATGTGGCTCTCAAAAGGTTCAGCGAAGCCTACAAGAAATGAAGAACTTATAGATAAAGATGTAATAAGTCTTCTGTTGATCAGAAAAATAGAAAATTATATGTATGTCGGATGACGGTGAAACAGACACTGAATAACTGAATAAAATTACATGAAATTCCACCACCAACGCAAACAGAAAATTCGGGTTTCCGCGTAATTTTTAATTTTCAGCCAACACAAATATACAGTGAATGCCAAATTGCAAGTGAAACGATTGCACCTTTTTTAACGACCATTTCTAAGTGGTTAAAAAATTCCAGACCGTACATTCCGTACAGGATGAGCCCCGTTAGGGTCGACCAAAATATTCTAAAGGTGTTGTCACTGTAGCTCCGGTGAAGTCCAAAATAGACGAAAACCTACCTAATTGGCAAAAGAAATGATTGCTAATGAATTGGACTCATGGCACAAGTGCATTTTGCTAAATTTTTCCTAAACAAATTCGAAAATAAACCATAAATCAAAAAAGCAGTCCATAGTATGAAGCCCAACAAGAGCAAATTCACTTGCAAAATCTAAGCAACAAAAATCAGCAATCATGCCAGTCTACTTCACCCGATCTAAAATCGTATCTGCTATTGCACTTGGAAATGGTCAGACGGTAACTGCAAAAAGATATATCGAAGAATGCTTACCAAAAGCTTTCAAAATTTTTTTGGAAAACTTGAAGAAAGACGATTTGCGGCGCTACTTTTTACATCATGACAACGCGCAATCCCACACTGCTGAAATAACGAGTAATTTTATTGCGATATTGGAAATCGAGGAATTACGTCCAGCACCATATTCCCTGGATATAGCACCTTGTAGTTTCTGGTTATTCCCAGGAATTAAAAAAAATTTAAAAGGAAAGGTCTTTAATAGCAACCAGAGGTTAGTGCTGAACTTGATAAGCTTAAAAACAAGATTTTGAAGACTGTTTTCAGTAGTGGATTTTTAAGCTTGAGAAATGCTTTGAAATCCATGAGCATTGAAATGTAGAAAATATAAAAAAGAACAAAGATTCAGAAAAAAACCAAGAAGATTTTTTTTTTGGTCAACTTACTGAACTTTTCTTAATCCCCTCATATTATCAATTTCTTCAGATATGAAACTTTGTTCAAAAATCCTTCAAAAATATCTAAGAGAACGAAATTTTGCCTCTACACTCGTATCCAGTATTGATACCGAAAATTAACACAATCAGAAAACTACCTCATGTAGCCCCACCAACTAAAGGATGAATTTTTTATATACATATATAGTTTTCAAGAAGAAATCAAGTTCAAACAAATTATTTTAATGTTATGGGCAGGAATTTAGTTTATCATTAAGGTAAATATTTATCATTATGACAATAACTAGACGAATATTCTCTTACAAAAAAAAAACATTTGTGAAGTCATTGCGGCCGGACGTGTTTTGTCTACGCTCGAGAGTTTAATACTGTTTCGGTGGCATTTTAAATAAAAATTCTTGGTATTGTTTCAGTGAGACAGTTTGTTTGTTTGTCTACCCGTTGAAGCTGATTTTCTTGTATATCTTTTTGTATTTGTGCTTATATTCGTCAGTTTACTTTTTAAATAAATATGAGCANTCTTCACACTATCTCTGTTGTACTAAAAAAGATATGGAAATCTTATTGTACTAATGCTTTGTTATTATTATTAAATAAATAAATAAATAAATAAAGGTATCAATCGTCTCGGATTTATCTTCGTAGGCAAACGACTTTAAAAAATCACAAACAAAATAGTACAGCGGTATAAAATTGCGCTATCTTAGAGGCCACGCCATAAGCCCACGACGCGAGATAATGGGTTCACAAAAACTTTCCTGGAATAAACTGCTGGTTTCGATAGCCTTTTGGAATAAACCAAAGGTTAAATGCTCGTCCACATCAACATCCTCCAATTCATTGTCTGCCATTGTCTGTAAAATAATGGTCGACTTTATTTTTGAAGAAATATGGACCAAGATCCGCTCTGTCCATAGGTCGTATCAAACAGTGACATATTGAAGATGTATTAGCATCTCAATAATAGCCTGTGGATTACTATCACTCCCAAAGAGAATTTTTTTCCTAACGTTCAGCATTCAACCAAAAGTGTGCTTTACCGAAACTAAAGTCCCTCTTAGCTCATTATGAGCTGATGCAATCTAGCGCAACGATGAATTCCAAAGTCTACACTCAGCAATTAAAAAAGCGTTCAGAATCGTTTAATGGGAAAGGTGTTGCGGTACATTGTGGCAACTACAGACTACATATATTGCTGATAATCCAGGTAATAATTTACCGAGATTGGTTCGAAGGTTTCGATCCCCTCAACACCGTATTAATGGTAAAATCTTAAATACAGAAGTTTTTCACTAACGGAAATATAAATCTACTCGAAGATAGCGAAATTTCATATAGAAAAAGGTCAATATATATTGCTCAAAATTATAAAAAAATTAGAGTAATCAGCGGCTGCTTTTTAACGCGTCGGCAATGAGCATGGGTCTGATACACTCGAGTCATTTTTAAACGCGGTCCGTCTGGCTATTGGGAGCCTTGATATAACTTAATCGGAAGGTAGCATAAAATTCGTTTTCACAATGTCCGTTTAAGGCACATCTGTCAATTAAGTTGCGGTTAACTTAACGCCAAGATTAAGTGGCTATTAGATCTTAACCGTAAGATAATTTGACAGCTGGAAATTGTAAAATAATATGATGAATAAAATAGCATTCCGGAGTTTTGGCTTCAAAATAAATTTTTTATGGAAAATATGGAACGCACTAACTGGCTGCGTTGATTCAGAGGCGTATTTATAGGGAAAGAGCGAGCCGTATACAAATAAATTTTTTTGAGAAATATGATGAAGAAGTTTTTAATCGTAGATTTCGTCTTTCCAAAATTAACTTGAAGGTTTGTAAATATAATAAGCTTGGAGTAAATAAATATTGTTGATAATTTATTGGATTTCGCAGGATTCAAGCACTTCGGCCAGCGGAAATGTTGCTTTTAACACGGCGCATCTATGCACCGGTAAGTTTTTTGATTTCTGTTACTGATTTCTGCGGATTAAGCATGGCGACGGCAGTCGGGTGGTCAATAAAGTGTTTATTGCTATAGCGGCACTTTCCCAATCTTTAATCAGAATGCAACAAAAAAGCAGAGAAATTTAACGAAGTTTCCATAGGTGATGTTGTTCATATATTGCACTCATGTCAGAATCCAATCACCTGGGGCAGAAAATGCCGAAACTTTTCGAAACAGAAAAGGGTACTTTTCCTTCAACGCCAAAGCTGTCTGTACACGTTAGCAATATCTTTAATCATAAAGCTGAAGCACTTCCTCTTCAAATTTTCGTATTTCTCATTTAAGTTTTTGTGCCCCCTCCGAATTGCCAATTGAGCCTCAAATTCAACAACGATGTTCTCTTCAAGGCTTTTCGTTTTTCCTCAGCCAATGTTATTAAAATACTTTCTTCAGTGGTTGAAAACTTTGCAAGACGATTTCTGTTTTTATCTATTTATTTCAATTATTTTAGAAAAATTATAAAAACACAACGGATTAAATTAAAAATTGCACGCAAAAATGTAAAAAAAATATGAGATAATGACCAACTAACCAGAAGTTAGGAATCCAGAAGTTGGTGAAAACAAAAGTAACAAATCAGCATATCTGGCGGTTAGCTATCTTCCGGTTAAAGGTTAGTAAAATTAATATATCTGTAGAAATAATGTTCAGCTATTAACCTTTGATAATTACTTTCTAAATGCAAATATGTAAAACTTGCCATAAAAATACTATTCTGTAAAATAATAATGGCTGAAATATAACTTCACTTCCGTTTTAACGTTTTTAAAGGTTGGTCGTTTTATTTCACGCTGCGCAACAAACTTTATAATCTAATGAAATCTATCGCACGCGATGCAAAGTCGGAAGCCACATGCCATTTAATCCAGAATAAATGCTTGAGAGGATCGCTTTGCAACCCTACGTAAAAATTAGTCAAAAGAAAAGTCTGCGAGTGTCAATTCATATAAAATTAATTAAACCATAACAGAGCTTTCCTGGAGCTTTTATTTTTGGCAGGAACTTTCAAGTCCAACAGGCGAAAGATTATTTAATTGTAGCGTTCAGATACTGGCGTGGAAGTTTTACTCTTTCACAAAGTGTTTGCCTGATTCAAAACTGTCTTCGATTTGAAAATAATGATACGCGCCAAGAAAGAAAGATGAGAACCTATTGTAGATGCTTTTCGTGATCACTGCGCATTTTGGCAATTCTTGATTAATATACCGGCAAAATATAGGATCGAAATATTTATTTATATGTTTTAGTGAATGCACAAATCATTTATATCAATAATCAGGAAACAATTGCGGATTATCAGCCACAAGTTCCCTTCTCGGCGAGCAATAAACCTTTCGACATTTGTTAATAGACTTGTACAGCTATATTTACTAAAGCATTATAAATTGACATAATAATAATAACCATGTTCAGATCACACTACAATTAAAAAAAAAATAAATGGAATGAGTCAACATGATCCCTAGGATTTCAAAAGAATTGCACATTAGAAAAAAAGGAGATTGTTTTAGTAATGTCCACTCTCCACAATGACAATAACATAGATGTAGAAACTGGAGATCAGAAAGTCATTCAAGTGTCTCATTTTACAACCAGACAAAGTGTGGAATAGATGTTATCGATGAGATCTGCTCTACGTACGTATCAAGAAACAGTAGACATTGGCCATTAACAGTGTTTTACTCACTACTGAATATGACAGCTATAAAAGCGATCATCATTCAAAACTCCAACACAAATAAGAAAATATGAAATGTATGGATTTTTTACGAAATTTGGCACTTTCTCTGGTATAAGACCATTTATACCACGAAAAGAGATACCCATCTGGGCGAAAATGAGGAGGAAGTACCAAAAACAGGTTCGTAATGCTGTAAACAGATGCCAAAAGCTCTTCACACACGGTCAGAAAAAACTGAACAGACTTGGGTACGCTGCGGCAAACATCTTTGTTTTCAAAATGCTCATATGTACTTCTCCAAATAACTCGGAATAAGCCTTACCGCCTTAAAAAACCGTAACTATTTCTCAAAATTTGTTTATATATATTCTTATTTTATAACAATTTTTGCAGTTTTTCCACTACCTTTTATGCTGTTTTTTAAATGTTTAACAAAATTTGAATAAATGTCAATTGCACTGAATAATTCTTTTTTATTTGTTTTCATAACAAATATTATTAAGCTAATGAACAGTCTAAAAAATGCATTAATATTTAAATGTTCTTTTATTTATATGTAAACACATATATATTTACTTGTTTGGGATACATCCATTTCTTTAACGTGCGGCAAAAAACATGTTTATTGACGGTGGGTTAATTAAAAATAATAGCTTCCGAACTGTAAATGCACAAATCATAAGGCGGTTGCGAAATAGCTGGAGGGATTCATACATTCCGAAGGCTGATTTATCAGGCCCTTTCCAGTATGCATTTGGCAAGGGAAGAAAAATTTTCTCCGCTTTGCTAAAACTGTTAAGCAAAAGATGTAACTCATTTGGCATCAAACGGCTTTAATGACGCAAGGGAGATAATTAGTCGGTGTCTTTATTAGTTAATACTGAACTGAACGATCAATAAACTTGATGACGTCAGCTTCTAGTCTTGCATAGTGTTTACGCTTTAATGAGGAGGCTAACCTAATAGTAATTGACCTATGGAATGTCGAAATCTCATTTTTGATCTTGATAATAGACAGTCCATCAGCCTCCGCCGTCAGTCGTCAACTAAAAGTATTTTATTAGCAAGCTGTAGAAATGTTGCCTCCACAAAGTCGATTTACGCATCTCTTCTGACTCCTATTCAGATTCCAAAAACAATTCCTGCATTATTGGGTGTATGCATTATTTCGTGCGGTTTTTTTTTGAAAACTAAGACTTTATTGGGAAAAAATTGTTCTACATTTAATATTCAAAGTATTGCTCATCGGAAGCTACGATGTTTGCCCATCTTTCTAGCAGTTTGTGGATCCCATACCAAAAGAGCTTCTCCGGCTTGGAGGTCAAGAAAGAATCGTGCCAATTTCTGATACCCTGTTCTGAAGCGAAGCGTACTCCGGTGAGGGCATTCTGCATCCGCTATAAGGCGGATGAGGTAGAACTTTCCGCCCACAGTGGCCTTGCAACATATGAAATGATGAAAAATTATTGATTCGTATCTGGTCACATATTCTGGTCGTTTTCCACAATGGCCCTTTTCAAACGAATCAATTGTTTTCGGTAGACCCGATTTCAATAGTTAATAATAGAACACACCCGATGGTTGGCCGGGCTTCACGTACGATCTCTTGCGCTTTGGGTTATCAGAATGAATCCATTTTTCATCGCCAGTGAAAATCCGATGCAAACATGACTTCTTTTGGTGGCGTAGAAGCAACATTTTCGACATTCAGAATCGACGCTCGACGTCTCTTGGCTTTAATTCATAAGGCACCCAATTTCCAATCTTCTGGATGAATCCTTATGATTTTAGTCGTCTGGAAATGGTTGCTTGATAAACTCCTAACACTTTTGCAATTTCTTCTTGCCTCTGGCATGCATTTGCATCGAGCAATGTCTCCAATCCTTCGTCTTGAAATTTTTTTGGCCGTCCTTCGTCTAAGTCGAAATTGCCACTTCTAAACCGTGCAAACCACTTTTAGCACGTTCGTTCGGCTAAAGCATGGTCACCATAAACGTTCAGTGACATACGATGGCTTTCGGCAGCACTTTTCTCAATGTTAAAGTAATAAAGAAGAACTCTCCGCAAAAACACTTTATCTGCTACGAATTTCGACTTTTTCAAAGGAATGAAGTAAAATTGTTGTTCACGCTAAAACAAATGATATCTACTGAACACGACGTAAAATAATACCAGTAGAGCCCTCTCTTAGAAAACCGCACGAATTAATGCATACACCCAATATATAAAATCATCTATGCACGAAGATATGTCTGTACTTTCTTCATTCCTTTATTTGGTAGTTGCTGAAAGTAATATGTCTCTATTCGCATATAGAGAGCGAGGGTTGCCTCAGAACGGCTTCACACACAATAACGTTAAATAATTCATCTCGGCTAAAAAGGGAAATATGTTGTGAGAAATATTTCGCGAAATAATTTTTCACAACTTTTGACGTTAATTAACTTAGCAACAGTGCATCGATGAGATTAGTAAAATTTTTTACAATAAAATTTTATCAAGTGATGATAGTTGGTACGGAAAATTCAATCGAACTCGTAGATCACTTCAAGGCGAGTTTTGTGAAGGTCGTCTAAACTCAGTTGTTGAAGGCCGTCATGTGTCCTTTCGCGAAATTGACTCATAGTTATAGCATTAATAGGCACAGCATTTAAATTTGTTCACGTTGGATCCCACACAAATAGTCAAACCCTCTAAAAATCTGTTCTTGTCGATTGATCGAGAGAAATGTTGAAAAACTACCATAGCGTTGCTTTGATGTAGGATATGATACGTAGATTTATACGTAGGAGTCGGAAAGTAAATAGTACTCGACTGTATGGTTGTATAAAGATGAGCCGAATCACAACCGTGAAACTAGAACATCACAAAAATGTAAGTTCTCAGTGGACGCATGCATTTGTTTGACAGTTGCCTTTCATGCATCATAAAACAGCTAAAAAGGGATCAGTCTTTATCACAATAATGCGAGCTCTCACACATCGGCTGAAATAATTTTAAGACTCAAAAGATCGATTTGATCCATCATAAAGTCCTGACTTAGCACCGAATGACTACTTTTCCCGTTTAAAAAAAATAGCTGAGAGGTTAATGTTTTTTGGCACCTGAAAAGGCGGTTGATGCGTGCAGAACTCATGTTTTGGATATACGTCACGCAGACTGACAAAAGTGCTTTGGCAATTGGTTTAAACGCAAGCAAAACTGTATGCAGCTTAATGGAGAAGAATTTGAAAAACAATAAAGCGATTTTCAATTATTCATATTTTATTTTGTTTTCTAATTCAGAAATATAAAAGGCAACCCTTTGCAAAAGTGAAAATAAAGTAAAGAAACACTTGGCTCTCTACCAGGATTTTAGTCGGCAGACCCCAAACCTACTTTGTGTTCATTATAATTGGCACTGTGTAACCGCTGAAGCGACTTTCGGCCGAGATACTCCTCCAATTTATTGTTTTGTGTCTTGAAGTTTTTTCAATAAATAAAGGGCATATAGTTTATACTAAGCCGCCTCTGAACGGCTGATGGTTTTTTCTGAGGAGGTTTTATTTTATGTCAGAAATACACTCGGAGGGGTTTGAAATTCCCTGCCGAGGGCAACCATAATTACAAAATTTAATTTAATTTTTGTATATAAACTTTGGAATGTTGTCATAACAGGATTTGAGACCAAATCAAAAAGCACTGGGAATTTGTTGTTCGTCAGTCACAATATGGTAAAATTAGTTTCCGATACATCGAACATAAGACAGACATTCACCTTTAAATTGTGATCAAAGATAAGGTTTCGCAACCGGGCATAAGCATCGATCATTGTTAAGCCATGTGTGAATTTACACTGTTATATGTAGGATATTCGAATGACCGGAGATGGTGACTTACTTAAATTTACATCAATCCGCCCTCCATACATTTGTGTGCAGAGGAATCAATAGTTTATTCTCTTCTTGTCAACTCATTATTTCAAGCCACATTACAAAGACTTCAAAACCCAAAGGCGCGGACATTTTTGTTAATCATTATTTTCCGCCTGCAGGCTATTTTAAAATAATTTATGTCAAATAGGCATTTGCAACCTAATTTACATTAGCAATAACAGTACAATAATAAAAATAGTATGAGAAGAAAAAGGGTTCGCTCTTATATAAGTATGCACACATTTGAGCACGTAAATAGTTTTAAATATTTATTATCAGATATCTGTGCAAATCATTTGTCAACTGCATTGTAAAACGCAAATAAAAACAATTATTGCAGACATCGTACAAACAACATTACAAACACATATCTGTATACGTATACTGTTTGTAAGGAGACAAATACCCGCCCTCCATCCGCCTTCACTTTACTGTTATTCCAAACAAATTGAAAGACAATAAACGGAACGTGCAGTCATATGGAAAATTGTAATATTCACACAATTTAATTAACAAGAATAAATATTGTTACACCAGCAGAGGCATTGATGGCGGGACGCGACAAGCAGGCGAGCATTTGAACAGTGTTTGAACGATATTTGTATGGCGGCGCTAAACGGCACCGAGGCAGCAAGGCAGCAAGAGCTGTAGGCAAACGGCAAACAAAAAGGACAAGAAAATAACGGCACGAAGCTTAGCAAACAAATGACATTGCAAATGATGGAAATCCCTTGAACATAACCATAACGCAAGCAATCAAATATAAGAACCAGCTAAATATATTTACATGTTTGTATGCTGGCACACACACACACATTTGTTGTTGCTGACATGATGGAAACAAAATTCACCTACCAATTCATAAAGCCGCTGCCAGATGTCAAAAAACCCTACAGTGGAGTAAAAGGCGATTAACTTGAGGATGGCGAGCTGAGTAGATTTAGCCATGTCTGTTAGTTTAAATCACAATTAGTGCCTCAGGCTATATAGAGTTTTTTTTTTTAAATTTCAAAGGGTTTTCGAAAAAAAGTTGTCATTTTGAATCGATTGCTATTACAGTATATGCCACTTTTGAAGCTTTAGTTGTCTGTCATTTGACAAATAAAAATTAAACAACGCTTCAACAAAGCATTCAAAATTTTCAATCGGTTTGAGAGCCGGACTTTTTCCAGGCCAATCTTAGCAAGAAATTTCGTTATCCTGCAGCCATTTTAATGTGATTTTAGCTTTATGCATTGGAACGTTATCTTGCATAGATATAGTAACTGCAGGTTCACTCTTAAATTTTTCGATTCTGGGAAGGCATTAATCTCTTAAAATATGTATATAGTTTTTTAAGCTCATATATCCATCGATTCCTGACAAAACGCCTATCTTTTCCTCTGATAACATCCCCAGATCGGTAAGGATACGATCAAGGTCTCTTGAATGTTTCGATTTATGATACCAACTTTTAAATCACAGCTAACCATATTCGGC